TTATCCCCTTGTACCGAAAAGGGGGGTACCGAATTTTGTACCCCCCCCCCCCCCCCCACAAAAAAAGTCATGCTATGAGCTATCGTCATAAATTTTGGGATCCCACATCTCGATTGTTGCTAGCATTTTGCTTGCTCGAATTCTCTGTCAATAAAATCAAGAAAATAAGTAGCTCAGCGGAAAAAGAACAAGAACAATAAATAAAAATTCAAATTGATGTTAGAAATAACTAAATAACTACCGTCACTCACATTGGTGCCAAAACTTGTTTGCTAAAATCCTTTGAGTGTGCAATATCATAGTAATGAGAATGGTTATAAGTATTTAATTTAGTTTTAGTTAAACTAGCTTTGATCAAATAGCAAGATTTTGGAAGAATTTATATATTAACAACCTAAAATCTATAACTAATCTAACTAATTAAAGACAACTTATGGGAAGCATTATGAGACTCAAATAGTTGAACAAAAACTAAGATTTAGAATCCCCTTGCATTCATCCATTTAATACCAATTGCATTATTTGACAACACCTATTTGGATATGAAGATCTATGTTTCTAATTCGTTTATTAATCTCTCATGTATAACTAAACATATCATCAATGTTACCCTCATATATCTATACGAAGGATATGAACATGCAACAATGCATTAAATCGCAAGAACATTCAAAAGGATCATGCAAAGCATAGAGATATATCTCTATCCCCAATTGAACTTCACAATGATTGTTAGTCCGTGCCAAATTCATATTTCTTTAAATCATAAGACAATTCAATTAATAATCAAGAAATTGAAAAGTATTAAACTCGTTACAATAATTCAAAATCAAACGTGTATTTAATGTCAAAATTTTGAATTGAATATCAAAATATTAAAAAGTAGAGTTCAAATTTATCTTAGCATCTATACAATTAGCCATGCATTATATTAATTACAAAAACACAATTTAAATTTATAAAACATCACCCGGAACTATAGTTTGGAAAGAAGATAGAAAGAATTCTTGAAAGTCTCAAATCTCTTCAATTGCTCCTCCTACTCCTTCAATCCAAGCAATTGATGTATGAAAGTACATAAGGTCGTGTATTGCCAATAAAGATTTTTCAAAGCTTTGAAAGAATGATAGATTTGATTATCAAAGGCCTTTCATTTTGGCTCTCATTTTTGCAAGAAATATGAACTTTTACCTTACAAGTTGTTGAGAATTAGAAACCATAATTTTATTCCATCGAGAGCAATTAATTTGCAGAATGAAATAAAGGCATTTAAGATTTATAGAGTTTCACCTAACTGTGTCACATTTCGTCATTGCAATAATTTACTATAATGGAAAGAATTTTTCAACCCCACGACGACCTCATTGCAGAGGTCGATATTTGTACTGGCTCCTCATAGCAACAATAATTAGGCTCCACAAACTTTAAAAGAGCATCCTTTGTCTTGAATGACTATTGTCCATTGAATCCCCCAAAAACCTTCCTTTAGTTGTTTGATGAAAGTATATATTTATATGCCTCGAGATTATGTAAAAAATCGTGCCTTAATTGCTTTTCAAAAAGAGATTGTTTTTTTAAAATAAGAAAGAGATTTGGGACCCAGATTTCACCTTTGGGCTACGATTGCATTGAACGGCCAGTTTGCTTTATGCTTCTGCATGAATAGCCCGTGCGACGGCATGAGCTTATACCTTGCAATTGCGAGGCATAAGTTCTCTTCAATGTTCATTTTTGGTCCCTCACTTCTCCTATTAGTTCAGTTTGAGTCCATTTCTAATTGCATATTTGGTCCTTCATCTTCTTATTTTCATATTTTATCCTAATCATTCCAAAATTATTAACCTAACATATGCAAGTTTTAAAAGTTTATTATTTAATCCTAAAACTTTTGAATTGTTGAACTTAACTCCCAAAATCTATGAATTTCTTTTGAACGCTCTATTCGTTCTTCCATTTGATCATGTGCACTCCGATTAATCTTTAATTTTCTCCTAATGAATTTAAACTCCATGATGTTTTTTTCTTCAAGCCAATTGTATCCAAGTTTGAATTTTATTAATTACAATTAACATAATTCAACCTAATAGATTAATATCCACTCAATTAGAAATAAATAAGCAAGTATAGTAGTACGAATAAGTACATAACATTTACTTATCACTCAACAAATAACAATAATAATAATAATAATAATAATAATAATAATAATAATAATAATAATAATAAATAAATAAAATAATTGTAAAATCCCCATCAACTACTCTACCCCAAACAAT